GGAAAGCTGAGACACATACTTCACACCACCCCTGTTAAAATTCACTCCATTTAAAAAAAAAAAAAATCCCATTAAGACAAAAATTTTACTTTATTGAACCTCTTACAGTTTTAGTTCTGATACATTTCTGGAGAGAGATGTGGCTGTTAAATTTTGCAAATGTTTCATTGTTGTGAGCACATTATTCCACTGTATTGAGATGAAGGCAGAAATCTAGCTGGATACCAGTAAGGGTAGTCAAGATTTTTAATTTATTATCTTTGTTGTATTCTGAGTAAAGGAACTCTTTAAGCTCAGTTTCAGTTCTGGTTGTCACATGCAGTTAAAGATGTGTGTCATGACTACATCAAATGGCCTCCTGAGATATCAACCTCTCATTCTGATACCTCCCATTTGATACACACTCATAGATTTCGCAGTGTGTATTCATCCTTGAGGGTGAGAATCAAACCTCTAATCCATAAAGAAATGTCTGTGCTCTCATACACTGCTGCACATATCATGCCAGTGCATGCAGGAGAATGATCTTGCTTTGTTCATGCTTAATGTTCTATGTTTTTCTCCACAGAAGAAGTCAGCTGCTTATACACTGTCATCGTGTGAAGCACTGATGTGTCGTTCGTGAACGAGTCCTTAAAGTGAACAATGGGAGCCGTCTGATAGCTGTTTTCTTTTTTCTTTCTTTTAAAAAAGTAAATGAATACAACACAGAACAATAGGATGATAATGTATTTGTTGAATACAATCAAGAAATGTCTTACTTTAGTAAGAACATTAAGACACAAGCATGGTGTGACTATATGACATGCCAGTCACCAAGATACAAAACATAGTTCAATATAAATGAAACGTTCAGATAGTAAATAGTGTTTGATATTTTTACATTATTTAAGGTTTTCATATGAAGCATAATGTACAATTATAGTATTCTGGAAATCATTAGGTTCAGGATAAATTAGGGATGGGAATTGATAAGACTTTTTTGATTCTGCTTATCGGTCTGATTCTTTATCTATTCCCTTATAGATTTTCTCATGAATTTTCTATGTAGAAAAAGGACTATACACACGTGCATGCAAAGCGCCACTGTTTAACCCTTTCATTCAGGTTTTCTTAGTCAAAGAAGAAATCTGCTAAGTCTGTGTGCCTTTAATGTTATTATAACAGGATATTTACCCTCGCTAACATACGTGCTGCTCACTTTCCTGGAATTTAAACCCATGTTGTGTGGAACATGGCCATTTTGCCAGTGTTTCCACCCTTACTTGAAATTATTTTACAGATATTACTACCATCACTGTTGTCATCTTTCTTCATGAAATGTAGTGTTGGAGTATAGGTACATTTACAGCAGTGTACATGCAGATGTTTGACATTTGCAATGCGCAGCTGTCAATTGATAAGCCCTGAGGCATACGATTCCGATGGATAAGACAATTGACAAATTTGGAGGGTGGTACTGAATAAAGGCAAAAGAACCCACTCTTATTGCTGAGCTGAGCCAAATGATCTGGCTCAATAAAAATTCCAATCACTAGATGGAAGAAACCCTAACATAATGTCCAAAGTAATGGCAATAGATATATAAACACTTTTAGTAATGTAATGTGCAGTGGCATGTGTTTTAAACATGTTTACATTTGTACAAATGTGGCCACTGAAAGTTAGGACTACTGCTGAAATCATTATCATTTCCACATTCCACGTCTGCTGTCACTGGTCCCTGAGCCTAACTCTTCCAGTCAGCTGATTAGTTTAAATTATGATAATCTCGGCTTTTGTTTCCCTGTTTTTGTTTCTATATCAGTGATCCTGCTTCCAAAAGTATCTTTATTTTCAGAAGCACATTTTGGCATGGTATTGATTCTCAGCAGGTCAGTTAAGAAGCCCGAAAACAAATTCTTGTAATCCTTTGGATGATTGTCAGGCCCAAGTAGATCCCCCAACCTCCTCCAAAACCTCATCTCACCTCGCGACGCCCCTCCTCTCTCTTTCAACCCCTCCTGTAACAACGAATATGATCTGTGTTTGCGCTCCGTGTCTAGAGACAATAAAGGCTGCATATCGGCTGGGCTGTGGATTAGAGGGCTGCTGATTTCGAAACAATGTTTTAACAGGAGTCCCAGCATGTGGCCTTTTATCTGACAGAGCCACAGTTCATCGTGGTCAAATCGCACAAAACCAGAGGGGAGCGGGGCTCACAGCAACAATTATCACATGAATGAACATTGTGCAGGGCACACACATGTCGATATAAACCCCCAGACTCAGACATATATATATATACACACACACACACACACACACACACACACACACCCCTAAACACACCTACACACACACCTAGACACACACACACACACACACACACACACCCATCAGTTCCACTCTATCTCAGGCTTTTTAGCCACTCAGTCTCTCAGTCAATCATACGTGCCACACATGACCACACAGACAAGTAGACAGAAATAGTAGACACGTGCACACTCACCCACACACACACACACAAGTCTGTATTCTGTTCTTCTTGGCAGCGTATGATCCAAAGAAATTCAACTAAAGACAGTTATTCCGATGCTCACCAGCGTTTTCCTCATGCCATATCGATTTGCATTTAATGGGCACTTGTTGCATAAATGGAGGATTTACTTGTGAGATGTTTGGAGGTGCCCTGACTGCAGCACAAAAAATATGCCACAATCACCTCATTTGTCTTTTCTTGTTTTGGTTAAAAAAACAAACGGGGAAAAGGGGAAAAAAATCCCACATGCTATAAATGAGTTTTGGGAGGAGGTGGGGGTTTAGAGACAGAGACTTACATTGAGAAGCTAACAATGAATTCAATTCATTGCCTCGGTTTGGCTGCAGTACTGAAGGACAAACAAAATGAACCTGTGGTTGATGAGAACTTCTCTTATTCTCTAACCCCGCTCCACCAGCTACAAACCACATAGAAACAGTAGGCTACATTCAGAGGAGCCTCTGTCTCACACACGTTATACAGACACTGAACATCATGCATGCCCAGTCGAAGACAAAACCTTACCACCCTGAAGATAAAAAGCTATTTAGGTAGGTTTTTTTTTAGCGTGCCTTAAATACGTTACTCTGGATAATCCACAGAACACACTTTTAA